CCCTGTGCCAGGGCCGGGGGGTTGCACGCTGGTGCACAAGTGCTGCTGCACGGTGCCAGGGGCACGAGGACCGTGAGCATCGGTGCTGGGGGGCTCTTGCACATGGGTGCTGGGGGCACGAGGACAGTGAGCATCGGTGCGGGGGGGGCTCCTATGTGTCAGTGCCGGGGGCACGAGGGCATCGTGCGTTGGTGCCAGGGACCTGAGGGTGTTCGTGAGCATCGGTGCTGGGGGGCTCTTGCACATGGGTGCTGGGGGCACGAGGACAGTGAGCATCGGTGCGGGGGGGGCTCCTATGTGTCAGTGCCGGGGGCACGAGGGCATCGTGCGTTGGTGCCAGGGACCTGAGGGTGTTGTGTGTTGGTGCCAGGGGCGCGAGGGCAGTGAGCATCGGTGCCAGGGAGCTCTTGCACACCCGTGCCAGGGCCAGGAGGGCATCGTGCGTAGGTGCCAGGGAGATCTTGCACGTGGGTGCCGGGGGCAGGAGGGCATCGGTGATGGGGAGCTCTTACATGTCGGTGCCAGGGGCAGGAGGACAGTGAGCATCGGTGCCAGGGGCACGAGGGCAGTGAGCATCAGTGCCAGGGAGCTCTTGCACACCCCTGCCAGGGGCAGGAGGGCATCGTGCGTAGGTGCCAGGGAGATCTTGCACGTGGGTGCCGGGGGCAGGAGGGCATTGGTGATGGGGGGCTCTTACATGTCGGTGCCAGGGGCACCAGGGCCTCATGTGTGGGTGCTGGGAAGTGTTTGCACACCAGTGCCAGGGCGTGAGGTCGTCGTGCATCAGGGCCAGGGAGCTGCTGCAGGTCAGGGACGGGGTTTGCCAAACGTCAGCCCCAGGAGGCTGCTGTGCGTTGGTGCCAGGAACATGAGGGTCTGGGGCATCAATGCCAGGGACCCCTTGCACACCGGTGCCAGGAGCGTGAGGGCATCGTGTGTCTGTGCTGGGGAGCTCTTGCACATCGGTGCCAGGGGACGGGGAGCCTCGTGCTTTGGTGCCAGGGACCTCCTTCACCTTGGTGCCGGAAGCTCTCGCGCGTCGGTGGCAGGGGCGTGAGTGTTGTCCATCGGTGCCAGGAGGGACTCGTGTGTCGGTGCAAGGGGCAGGAGGGCTTGGCACGTCGGTGCCAGGGCCCTGAGGGTGTTGTGTGCTGGTGCCAGGGGCGTAAGGACATCGTGCATCAGAGCCAGGGAGCTCCTGCGTGTTGGTGCCGGGGTGGTGAGGCCCTCGTGCAGGGTGGGAGGGTGGCAGTGCCAGCCCACCCATGGGTGCTGCTGGGCAAGATCTGACCCCCCCTCTCCACAGGAGTGCAGCGGCCTGGGGGACATGCCCGGCTCCTTCGTGCCCACGGTGACGGCCATCACCACCAGCCAGGACCTGCAGTGGATGGTGCAGCCCACTCTCATCTCCTCGGTGGCCCAGTCGCAGCCCCCAGGGGCACCTATGGCGCACCCACCCCCCGTCGATCCCTACGACCTCCCGGGACCCAGCTACTCCACGCCAGGCATGGGTGCCCTCACCACGGGGCCGGCGGGCCCGCCG